TGTGGACAGATGGCCTCCATGCAGTCGGCTGTCCTGGGTCAGAACCAGTTGGACTCTGTGTCCTCAGTCTTCCCTGACCTCGTTAGGACTGAATTGTGAGCTCCCAAATTCCCGTTTATAACCTCACCCCCAATATATCTGTATTTGTAAGTTACACCTCTGTGGGGTCATTACGGTTAATGACCTGTGCTAGCTCCTGAGGTGGGTGTCTTTATGAGAAATCTGGGCACACATAACCAGGGCCCGGGGGTCACTATGTGGGGACACAGCCCAAGATGGTGACCTGCAGGCCATGGAGAGAAGATTAGAAGGACCCAGCCTGCGGACAAGTGGATCGGCCTTCCAGCCTCTGGACCTGAGAGGGAATAAAGATGTTGGGGGACGCCCAGCCTGGGGCCTGTGCTGTGGGGGCCTCAGAGACTCATGTGCCCCTGGGCTCAGCTCAGTCCCACCCACCACTGCTCCCTGGACTGTCTTATAAATTCAAGAAAATGCACAATGTGTCATTGCCAAAGACCAGACTTGGGGGCAGGATCAGAGAGGGTGAGGACAGGTTCTCTACACAGATGTCCCTGGACAGGAGCTCAGACCCAGAATAGATGAAACAGAGGAAGGACTGAATTAGCCCCAGATGGGTGCTAAGCAGGAAAGTCCCGGGGCCGGGCAGACAGAGGGTTCTTGTCTCACTTCCCCCCTGGCCTGGAGCACTGTGCGAGCTTTGAGGCTGTCATCATAGGACTGACAGTGATAGACAGCCTCGTCCTCAGCCTGGAGCCCTGAGATGGTCAGGGAGGCCGAGGTTCCAGACTTGGAGCCAGAGAATCGATCTGCGATCCCTGAGGGCCGATTGCTGTTCTCATAGATGAGGAGTCTGGGGGACGTCCCTGGGAGCTGTTGGTACCAGTGTACATAATTGCCACCGATGTTGTTGCTGCTTCCAGTGCAGGAAATGGTGACCCTCTGGCCCGGGGCCCCAGACACTGAGGACAGCTGAGTCAGCACAGACTGGGCCCAGGTACCTGGGGGTGGGAGAGACACAGAGAGGGTGATTCTCGGTCTAGAGATAAGAGAAGAATGCAGGGCCCATGCTCTCCCCAGACCCTTCCCCTGGCCCTGTCTCTAGTCACCTGTGCAGTGAGCCAGGAGGGTGAGCAGGAGAGGGGACCAGGCCATGGTGGAGGGGTCCTTGGAGCCTTGCCTTCTGTGCCCACAGCTGAGGCAGAGCTCCCCTCAATCTCTCCCTGCTCCTCTTCAAGCTCTGAGGCAGGGAGGGGACGTTCATGCAAATGAGCCTCCACCCCCAGCTTGCTGGTCTCACTTGGCACTAGGTTCAGGCCCCACTGCCTGGGGATGACAGGGTTAGGAGAGGTGGGGCTTTGTGGTCCTAGGAGTGCAGAGGTCACAACTGAACCCTGAAAGGTCAGTAGGCAGAGCCAAAAGGCTGCTCCCTGCTCTGATCACCTGAGACCCCCTCAGGAGTGGGTTTTGAGTGCCCCCTGGTGTCCAGGCCCAGAAACAGCATCCTCTTACTTGACCACATCCTTTCAGAGACAGCCCTGCCTCCCCCTGCTCTGGCCTCCAAGCGTCCTCAGTACCACGCTATGTGGCCCCTGACTACCTCAGATCTCAGTTTATTCTCTCTGTGTCGGCCCTCTCAACTCTCATAATGAATATAAAAAATGAGCAGGTCACTTTCCCTCAGTTTACCCTGTCCTTGACCCAGGACAGTGTGACAGGTATGTCTCTCCTTAGCAGATCCTTACTGAGCATGTCCCTGGAGCTGCCTGCTGTGCCCCCACAGGGGTGTAAAATGAGGAGCTGCACAGCCTCGACCTGCCTTAGAAGCTGGCCTTGATGAGGACGCCCGAGGGCCAAGAACTACAGGGACCTCCCTGCCTCTCCATCACCACTGGGCTGAGACCTGAGGGGCCACCGTGCAACCAAAGACCTGAAAGGAGATGAGGGTTTGGAGGCCTCAGGGAGGAGGAGTCAGAGCCAACAGCTCAGAGCTGAGGGGACAGTTGTTGGGTTCAACAGAGGATGACCTTCAGCTCATGAAGTAGATAAAGATGGAGGAATACAGGGATGAACAATGAGATCTCGGTGAGGAATGAGTCTCCGAAGGAGACCTGGCAGGTCCTGTACCCCAGGGGTCCAGAACAATGGCCTCCATCAAAGGACTGCTGACAGCTGGGGGATGACCTCAGAGGTCGTGGGGAAGGGAAGGTAGGCCGAAGCCCTGGTAGAAGGCTGTGGCATGGAGAATGCAGGAGAAAAATTGTAAAAGGATTTCTGAGCTCCCTCTTAGGGCATACTACACAGGAAAAACAGAGAAGGTCTGTAAGCCCCATGTCCTTCTCTGGAACTGTCACATAAACGGCTTCATCAAAACGACTCTGACCAAGCTTTGTGAATTTCTGTCTTCCTAAGAACATACCAGCAGAATGAGAGATGTGACATGTGCACTTCCCATAATTTACAGAATCATTTCCTCAGCTTCTTCTCATTCATTATTATCCTATGCCCCGTCTCTAGGTGATATCCTAATATCGCTAAAGAAATTCCCCACCCTCTTAATTCAGTGTCGGATCTGAGGAGTGAACTCTCTAACACAGGAGTTCTTGCACCCTGAGCGATTCCTGAGATACTAAAGATGTAGTTTGGTGCCCCTGTTGTACTGTAGCCATCCCTACTCTTTAGAGGACAGTGGCCTACAGGTGAATATTTAGAGTCATCAGCCTATCGGTGTGAACAGAGCTGAGAATGAGGGTGAGAAACTAGCAGGAGTACCTTCCGGGGAAAGGAAATGGCTCAGGGTCTGAGGGTGTAGCTTGTGACTGGGTGGAGAATGAGTAACTCCGAACAAAAGCTGGAAGCGAATCCATGGTGGGAATGCCAAGAGTCCATGTGGGCCCTTCGCAGTTGGCTTTGTGTCCTGAAGGGACAGTGTCACATCTGGCCAGTCAGGCTCCCTCTGCTCCCAGGACTCAAGATGCAGTACAGGAGGTGAGTGAGACAGCATCATCGTGCTGACCTCCCTTAACTTTCTTAAAGGGCATGTACTTCCTGTGCCAATAGGAATTTTTCTCACGTCCTCTCTCATCTAGATAATGTGGCCTCCCAAGGCCAGGTCTCCCTACCATTTAGTCTACATTGTTCCCTGAACTTCACTGATGCAGGATGGCAGGGTGATCAGACCCAACAATCCTGCCGATTATTTCCCATGGTTCATGAAGAATTAGAGACATGGACAGAGAGAGGAGACAGCAAAGTGGAGTTTATTAAGAGAGAAAAGGTAGAACCGAGCTCCAAGCAGAGAGTGGATCCCAAATGAGTTGCCAAAGAGGAGCTAGAAGGGAGGGTTTTTATCTAACAGTCTGAGCAATGAGCTGACGTTCTGATAGTGAAGTATGAGGTTTTTCTTAACACACGGGGTAATTAATTATGTTGACAGTCTACACTCCCAGCAATCAAGGGTCTGGGTAGTTAATATTTTATCTTACAATGGAACTAGGGGGACTCGTTCTTTGTTCTCTTTGATGTACTTTTCATATACGTTGTTCCTGTCTTGTTCTGAATTTTCTTATTTTTTAAATTATTGACTCATTTATTTAGTCATTCACTACATTATTTCATCATCAATACGATATACAAAATATTTTCAACCATATACATTGAATATTGGCTCAATTAAGGATATTACCTACATGCTATCATCACACCGAGAGCTGCTGTCAGTCCCAGGGAGGGACAGGGGAGGGACAGTCAGACACGTGGAAGGGAGGACAGATCTTTACCTCGCTTCCTCATGGGATAGGAGCATGTGGTGACAGGCAGGATATACCTGTCAGACAATGACAAGCAGGCTGGAGCCCCGAGGTGGATGAGGGGCCCAGTTGATTATCCCAGAACAGGAGAATCAGGCAGGGACACCTGAAGGCTCATCACTGCTGTCCTGGGTCATAAACTCCGGAGTGCTTACTGGGAGACTTGCTGACCAGTAGCCATGGAAATGCCCACAGCTGCTGCTCCCCTTGTAGGTGAAGGTGTCCTTGAGCTCTGAGCATCTCAAGGGTCTCATGAATGGCTGAGGGCTTGAAGGAAATGGGACTTTCTGCTCAGCGTGTTCCCCAAACACACCCCCTCTCTACTAATTGTTGAATAGTTGAAACGGGGGCTGAGAAGAGGGTGACACAGTCCCACAGGAGCTCCCCCCGTCCTGAGTGTGACCAGGAATGACAGAGCCATGTCCATGCAACCTGCCTCTCCTGCCTTCCCTAGAGTAGGCTCAGAATGTCCCTGACAATGGGGGAGCCTCACCTCCATCCTCTACTGCTCACATGATGTTTCCTGTCCTGAGGTCCCTAGTCCTCACATGCCCCTGGCCTCACCCTCCCCTGCCTGCTTCCTAACTGAAGGAGCAGATGGCCCCCGTGAGCCTGGCCAGTCCTGGTGGGGAATTCCTCTTGGGCTGTGTCCTCGTGGTCACTTCACATCTTAGTGCCGTGTACTTAGGACACTGAGCTGCTCCCAGTCCTGAGCTCAGACACTTGGGAGGGAAGTGGAGGTCTCTGCACTGGCTCCACCAAGAGCAGCATCCATGCTACAGGGGACTGTCCCCTCTGCACTGGCCCCCGGACTTCAGATCAAGAGAGAATGGAGTGGACCAGCAGGTGGTGTGGTGATTAAGGTGCTGGACACACCCACATGGCTGACCATGGTTTGAGTCCCGGACCTGGCAGCTTGCTTTCTCAATCTTTCTCTCTCTCTGTCTCTCTCTGGTCAAATTAAAAATAAATGAATTAATAAATAAAATAAATAATTATTTCAAAAAAGAGAGAGAGAATGGAGGGAAGTCTGCTTCCTGCTTGGAAGAGAGATTAGGCTGCTGCACTGAGTCTGACTTTACAGCTTGATCAACAGGCAAAGCATCAGTGTGGTCCTGGGTTTTCTTTTTCATTTTGGCGTTTTCTTTTCCTGAGGTTCAGAAACACTGACTATTACACCAAGAGAAACACCAAGTCACTGATCTTCCCGGGTAGGGTTGCTGCACATACAAGTGACAGGGCATGGTAGGAGACACAGGCCAGCAGCTCAGTGACTGAATGTGTCCCACTTCCCCATCGGCCTGTGTCACTGTGTAGGCTGTCCACATCCCAGGACTGACAGTAATAGTCGGCCTCATCCTCAGGCTGCAGCCCCGAGATGTGCAGAATGCCAGCGCTGGCCGAGGTGTCCTTGGATCCAGAGAAGCGACTGGGGACCCCAGAGCCCTGGTGCTTGTTGGAGTCTGAGTTGTACCTCAGGAGATAGCGGGGACGGCTCCCTGGCTTCTGCTGGAACCAGGATATGGGATAGAGCTCCACACTGAGGTCACTGCTCAGGGTGCAGGTGAGTCTGGCAGATGCTCCCAGAGACACAGAGAGAGAGGATGGCTGAGTCAGCACGACCTTAGAGAGAGAGCCTGCAGGGACAGACACTTCTGTGTGAGGGAGCAGGGACCAGTGATTTAGACCACAAAGGTTGACCCACACAGAGAGCTGTCCCATGTCCCCAAGGCCTATCCCCACCTGTGCACTGAGACAGGAGCACCAGCAGGAGAGCAGTCCAGGCCATGGTGGACACACCTCCTGGTCCCCACCTGGGCTAGGCTGCTCAGGCTTGTCTTATCCTCCCTACTGTCCCCAGGGAAAAGCAAATGCATTATGCAAATGCACTCCACCCCGTCATGTGACTTTCAGACCCCAGCTGATCTCTGGTTCAGGAGGTGGAGGGAGGGCCCCACAGGAGTGTAACCCCAGGAGGGAGGAGGAGGGAGCAGAGGCTGGGCGCATCCCCAGGACCCTGCCCAGGAGCCTCTGCCAGGCCCTGAGAGCACCAGGCTGCTGGGTCTCAGCCCTGAGCACAGGGCAGTCAGCCTCTGCCAGCCCTGAGGCCAGAGGGGCCACCCAGTGTGAGGAGTCCCTGCAGCACTGGACAGCTCCCAGCACCCACCCCTTGCTGGTCTGAGTGTTTCAGGCTGAGGATAGGGACACATAAATGTAGTCCAATAACAAAGAGGTGTGAAAATAATACTTTTAATTGCTTTCACGTAGGTTAAAAATAAAAAGGTAAATATTTGTATTCTGTTTGTTTTTAATGGTATTTTTTATTATGCAAATATTTACTAAGCATAAAAAATAATGTACTAAGGGTGGACACTCCCCGACTCTCGCCTCCACTGGCCAAGCTGTCTCCAGGCATCCACAGCATCAGAGATCTCAGCTGCTCTCTCCTGTCCCCCTCCTCTCCCTCCTTCCAGTCCAGACTGGGCCACAGTGTCTCCCTAGGATGATGCCAACCCCATATCAGGTCCTCCTGTCTCATGTCTCCCTCAAATTACTCCCAAGGCACCCGGAGAGTTGCTGACCCAGTGCTGCTGGGAGCTGGTCCTCCCACCTTGCAGCCCTTCAGGGACCCCTCTGCCCCTCGTCCTCACACCCTGGTCCTGGCCTGCCCTTTATCCTCACATCCTGCCCCCACCTGCTCTTCATCCCCATGTCCCCACCCCCACCTGCTCTTCGACCTCACATCCTGGCTCCCACCTGCCCTGCATCTCTGCAGCCTCACTTCACAGAGCCCCTCCTGGGACCTTCCTGCCCCCATCCGCAATGCACAGGCCAGATGTGGCCTCTGTCATCAAAGTGACCAGCGTCTTCCTTGGATTCGATTCTGCCCTTTATGAACACACTCTGACCCTCCCCCTCCGCATGTCACACTCCCCTCATTCCCCACATCCCAGACCAGACCCCACCCCTCCAGAGCAGGCTCTTGTGGCCCAGACTCCCACCACCCTCAGCCACTCCCCCACGGGCCCCTTCCCCACGTGGGTGCTCCTGCTCCTGTCTCTTCTCTCAAAGCTCCTGCTCAGTGGCTGACACTAAGAAGCAGATCTGGAGCCAGGAAGACAGCTGACTAATTTGGATTTTCTAATATTTTTAACTAGAGTCGAGTTCATAATTCCTCCCAGTGGAAACCCACTTGTTCAAGGTCCTGGAGGCTCTAATGCTATTCTGAGCTTGGAGAGCCCAGAACCTGCCCCTTCCCAGACTGCCCCACAGCGCCCCCTGTTGGATCCCCAGCTGCACTCCCTCCAGACCGTAGGACTCAACTGAGGACATTGGGCACTAGGCCCCTGATGATGATGATCACCTTGGATCACCCTGGTCAGGGATCCTGGAAAATCAGGTCACACAGAAAAAGCAAATCTAGCAGAAAAGGCAAATCTTCCTTCCTCAGGGACTTACTGGTGTTTGGGGGATTTTCGGGTTGGAGGCAGGAGGAATCTAGAAGCGATAGACAATGTTTCCCAACAAAGTGAGTCCTTAAAGCAAGACTTCTGGTGTGTGTTGGCACGTGGGGAAGTGAATCTATTAACACTTGAGACAAAAGGCAACGGAACAGCAATGTGCCCCCAGCTCGACACAGGTCCTGATCCCGGACTTCCCAGTCCCTCTGCTGTGGGGAATCTATGTCTGCCCTTTATTGTCCCCCAGGTCAGAGTACTCTGTTACAACATCCTGCTGGGCGTTGGAGGGGCAGACAGCAGTCAGGCTAGGTCAGGGAGACCCCAAGGGACCCCCTGGAGTCACCACAGACTGTCCTGCTTGACGCTTTCTGTGACTTGAGGCCATTCAAAGGTCCTGCATTTTCCGAGGGGAGAAAATGGGCACAGGGAGGGTCTGATGAGCCATTTCCCTCCGAGGTCACCTGAGCTACACACAGTCCCAAGCAGTGAGGCAGCGAGGGCATGGGCAGGGAGCACACAGGGGAGGCTCAGTCACACTCCCGTGGTCTGGAGCCCTGTGTAAGGGCCAGTGTTGCCTTGATAAGTCCCTCCATGAGAGTCGGCCTCATCCTCAGGTGCAGCTCAGAGATACGCAGAACACCTGCAATGGCCGAGGTGTCTTTGGCTCCAGAGAAGCGGCTGGGGATCCTGGAACCCTGGTCCTGTCTGAGTCGGACTTGTACCTCAGGAGATCCTTGGAGGACTCCTTGGCTTCTGCTGGTACCACTGTACACGATTGCTACCAATATTGCAGCCCTG